GGCGCGTACAGACCGAGTTTCCAACGCAAGCCAAGGCACATGTGGTTACAGATTTGGAGGTGTTCGGGTTGGAGTGTACCGCGCGAGCCAACGGTTTCCAACCGCTTCCAACGGCGCTGTTGGCGTTCGGTTGCGTTCGCTCGGTGAGCGGTAGGTACATCAAAGGAAAATTTGATGTGGTCTGGACAGGATTTGTCGCGATTTTAGTTTTTAGTCGTTTGTCTGCCTTTTTAAAATGTCCACCATCTTCATTTTAAAGTTCCTCTAGTAAGTGACTGCCACTATACAAACTCCTATTTTTAAATGGTGTTGTTACCTCGTCCTCGTCGCTTGACATTGTTTGACAGACTAGCAGTACCGGTTACCGAACTTTACCCAACACGGTCCCACCAAGTCCAACTCAAATCTTAAATTTTGGTGTGGACGAGGGCATTCCAATCGTTTCCAACGACAAACGTCAACGTCACATGTGCTTGGATTCGTTGGCTTGGCGTTGGAATCCGGTCTGTACGCGGCTTATTGCTATCAAACCACAAACAATCGAAACGTTATTGGTATTTTCAAAGCAAGCAAAAAATATCATGAAGAATAAATTTTTGTCATAAATCAATATTTAAAAAAAAATTCCCTCTTGTATGACCCCATCGCTGTTAGCACACGTGTATAATAATAATAATATATTCGCATTATATTATGGGTATTCGTTCATACCTTATGAATAATAAATCTTGAATTTATTAATTCAAGGTTTATATCTCTCTGTGATGAAGAGGCGCATTTTCTTAATATTTCTACCTCGTTATATATGTTGTAAGAATTGCAATAGTTTTATTTATTTAATTTGGTTATGGAAAAGATTTGAAAAGTGTTATTTTTATACGTATTATCTCTGCATAGATGGTTTCTAATGGAATAAAAATTCAAAGCTAGTGGACATTTTGATTATATACTCACTGCTGCCTTAAGCAAAAAGACCAGATAAAACGACTTCATCTTCCAATGTGCAAGTTTAAGATAATGGAGATGTTAATTAGGATGGTAGCACAAGTATTCCCCTTTGGATCATACGTTTTGCCAGCAAATGAATTGCATATTGTGCCTGAGAAAACATTAAATCGACAGCGCCTGAGTGGCTGTACTTCGGCAGGCTGTATTAGTCTACTAATTGTTGCTGTGAAAACGCTTTCATAGTCATTGAATTGAAGGACAGTGCTCTGGTAAGTCGTGTATTGTGCCTGTATTTTGTCGCTGTGTAAGCGTTTAGAAAAGTAGGTGGAAATTTCCTTACCTTAAGGTATTAATTATATACTTTCAAGAGTATTTAAATACTTTTGGACTATTTAAATGTTTTTGGAAAGCATTTAAATGCTTTTGATGGATATAAATTTTTTTTAAGAATTCAAGTAGTATAGACAAACATTTTTCCACATTAGTTACCTACGTAAGTAAACGGCTTAAATTTATTACAAACTGAAATTTGTTTGTCTCAAATATAAACATGTGGCCCAATTTACTACCATCTACTTAAATCATGCCTTTAAGATTGTTTACATTGACAAATCCCTCCAATAAGAAATGGTCTATTACCCGTGTTCTGTGTGAAACTAATCTTTTGATACGTTTATTTAGTTTCAAAATATTTCTTCTTTATTATTTTACTCATTTTATGAATACCTACTCCAAAAGTAGTATTTCTATAAACACCATCACATTATCAGTAATATAATGTGGCAATAGGAATAGACATGTTTAATTCATTGGCAACGTCTCCACCTATTATCTGTTCACCGAACAGATGCAGTTAAGCTCCTCCCGAAAAATTCCCGGCAAATTTAAATGAACATTTTTAATTGGCCGAATATTCAAAACCTGTAACACACGCAACTAAGCATGCTAAATTTCATCAATATGCAGATGATACCCAATTGCACTACGACTTTCTCGAATGCAATATTGAACAAGCGGTTGAATTCATGAATAGTGATATATGCAGAATAGTTGAAACGTCCGAGGACCATGGTTTGCACATTAACACTTCAAAATCACTGGCTATGATGTTTGGGAAGAGAAAGGCAAGGGAACGACACAAAGATTCAGTGCGAATACGTGTAAAGGGCTCTACCTTACCAATTCAAGATTATGCAAAAAACCTTGGTGTGGTATTGGATTCTGACCTTAGATTCAAAAAACAAGTTTCAGAGATGATTAAGAAAGCTTTTTTAAATTTGAAATTAATTTTTCGTAACAGGCGCTCCATTAGTCAGCAGATAAAAAGTATTCTGTGCGAATCGCTCGTCCTTTCCTAGTTTAATTATTGTGATGCATTGTACGGACCTTGTTTGGACGCAGCCGATAAGTACAGGATACAAAAAATACAAAACTCATGTTTGCGTTTGATTTATGGTGTTAGAAAGTATAATCGAATCTCTCATAAATTACATGAGATGAAATGGCTTAATATGGAAAATAGGAGATTCGCTCACTCTGCTACATTATACCATAAAATAATCTCTGGGAAGACTCCATATTGGTACCTCTATGAGAAGGTCGGATTCAGCTCAAATAGTAGGTACGCTGCATTAATCACCCCACCATTCCATAAATCAGCACTCTTTATGAGCGCTCTTTTAGCTACAACATAGCGAAACTTTACAACTCATTGCCAAACTCGTATAAAAGATTGCCTCCTCACAAATTCAAAAAGTACATCCAACTATTATTACTTAATCGTCAGTTGCAATAAACTCGTTGTCAATTTGGTTATCTTATAGGATTTATTTAGCCCTCATACCGAATCACGCGCTCATTAACTCACATTTTCAGCACTCATCAATCGTTCATGAATTGTGCTGCAACCACGCACACCAGTTTATGTTATATTATTTAGAAGCCATATAGTCTTTCGTTCAAAACTTTATATGTATATTTGGGAAATGGGTTAAGTGGAAGAGCGAATGCAGTTTCTGCTGATACTGCATTCGAACTTCGCCCAATTAGCTACTTAGCACGCAGAATGTTGTTTTTTTTTCTGTACTTTATATATGTTGTTGTAATGTAGCTAATAAAAGACATTATTATTATGGTCGGTGTTTCTTGTGAGAACTCAGGTCTAGCCTGGTTAACTAATCGCACGGATTAAAATCAAGTAACGATTAGTGTCTGTGTCTGGTGAAGTTATGTAGGGTTCTAAAGAAAAATAAAAAATAAAATAAATATTCGCACACTCACATTGGAAATCTAGGGATAGTATGTAATTCATACTTACCAACATAGCTATTAATGGCCACAATAGTCAACGATATCAGGAAAGAAGAAAACAAAACAGTAATATCATTATAATAATTCCTGTAATTTTATTAAATGGAGTTTATTGTGTAAGTGTTTCTTTGGCTTTGCGTTTGGGTTGAATACGAGTGGGTTGTGATAACGTGGTGTGTTTCTGTGAAGAAGGAGTTTTGTGTTTTTTAATTGTGCTAGGGCGTGTAACTTTATTGGATGGACCTGTCTTTGTAGTACATGTTGCGTTGCTTGTATTTATGGTGTTTCTTTGTTCTTGAGGTTGTATTTGTGGGGTTGCTTGGGTTTTTGGTTTATTATTATTATTATTATTATTAACTATTTGCTTCCAATTATAATTAAGTACCGTATCTGAATTGACATCCGTAACGTCAAACCTGTCATTGCGTTTTCTATTTGCCTTGCCTCAATTTGCCGGTAATTTCATTTATACGAACAAACTAATCTTTTTGACCTTAATAAACAATTTGAATCTATAATGTACTGCTGTGTGTTTCAAGATCAATATTCAAAACATAACACTTTATAACTTGGTCATACAATGTGACATGCGATTTTAAATTTCACAGTTTTTAGCGCATTTCCACAATAAAGAAAAAATGCGCTATTGTGGCCACTTTGTCCGTCCGTCCTTCCGTCCGTCCGCTCGTTTTGCGACGCTACTAGTTCTTTATCATTTGGTTCGTTATGGTGTCGAGTTTTGTACCAAGGAAGGAATTTTTTCTGTACCGTTTACAAAAAAAGTTATTGTAAAAAAAACAAAAAACCGTTTTTTACATGTTCCATAATTTTACACTTTTGCCGTTTATTAACGATCCTAGAGGTCGTTTATAATTTTGCATTGCTATCTGTCGTCTGCCTGTTGGTCTGTCCGTCTGTTCCTTTGTCTGTCTGTCCATCTATCTGTCCGTGTGAACGATAACTTTGTTTAGAAATGTCCGATTTGATACATAGCCACTTGGAATAAAAGCAAATTTAACGCCAGTTTCAAAATTTAGGTTTGCGCACGCGCAGTTCCAACTTTCTTATTTAGAAAATCATTGAAATGAAACTCTTCTTATAAACTGAAATTGAAGTAGCACGTCAAAAATGGATTGCACATGTGCAACGCTATCTTTCATATTTGTGGTCGGATTTTTACAATTTTAACAAAAGTTGCATCTTACAAATAGGAAATGAATGCAAGTGGAAATGCGCTTTATGTAAATCGTTTACGATTACTTTTTAACTTGTTATAATTTTTGTGACTGTGAATGGGCCGGTCTGCTATTACATTGGCCAAAACTTATTGGGAGTGGCCTAAATAATTGAATCTGTTGGGTGAACAGATTATAGAGCTCTCAGAATTATTAAGTAATATAACTCGATAATTTTATTAAAGGCCCAGTGAAGCATAAATTGTGACTACATTGAAACTAAAGATAATATTCTTAGAAACGCAACCAAAAAAATCCGGTGTCAGTGTCATGTCCCGTTTCCTAGTTACAGGGGTTTAAATATTTACTACGAATGCGGTGACGTCACCGCTCCCACACTTACCGGCTAGGCTATTATACATTTGCAGTTGCGTATTATCTGATTGTCTAACGTACGTTCAAAAAGATCGATTAAAATCGCTGTGCATTCACGACTGCAGAGTTAGTAGGTGCGCTATGTAGGACCTGCGTACTCAACAGGGAGCGGTGACGTCACCGAATCGGTCGACGGAATTTTAAACGTGTGTTACGAGCGATCTACTGAACGTAGAAAGCCCGGATTTTTTGGTACTTGTTTTTGTCGGGATAACTATTTATTGTTTTTTTCTTGTAAATTTAAATTTTTTACTTCACGGGGCCTTTAACTTTTTATACACAAACAATATGTAGGTACAAAACAAAAAAAGATGCCCAGATAGGTATAATGAAAAATGAATCTATATATATATAGTTACCTAGATATCGTTACATTTTTTCAAAAGTATCTAGATATGTAACTAAACACTTCACTACCCAATTTTTTTCGTACTTAAGTTACACCTTCGTCGATAAGAAACTAAAACAAGTATAAATCGTGCACAACTCTTCTGCATATAACGCGCATTTTTTTAAACCGAAATAGCTTTTATTTTGACATCACCCATGCATGGATATATTTCTTCCAGACGTCTCAATCGCCCTTTGTGAGTACCTACTCTATTCCGACAATCCGTTCTTGAGGTATAAGGGAATATACCCGATCACGATAAGAGGTCGAGGAGGAGGGCTATGGTTGGTAGAAATTAATTTCTTTCGTTGAGACCTTTCATTAGAGTACCATGAAGGATAAAACTAGTGCCACTCCCCCCTGCCCCCTGCACCACATACTTTGATAAGAGGAAAGAAGGGCAGTAGTTGGTAGAAAACGGTTCCGTTCGTTGAGACCAGGGTTGAAACCTTTAATTAGAATACAATGAGAGATCAAATTTATTTTTAACCCCCTCCCCTCAGTCCGCGTCGCTCACTGATCTCGAAAACGAGTCGCACGGGAAAGTTATAGTTTGTACACACCAATTTATTTCGATGAGATCTTTCATTAGAATACCATGAAGGGTAGAACATGTGTTATAAAATATAAAAAATGCGCTAAAAATAAAAATGATATTTTATGTATATCAAATAATGTAGCTTTATATAAAACCAAAAATAATGGCGTAATATCTTATTCATTAGATAACTATAGTGGAAAAAAGTCTGAAAGGCCCTGGAATAATTTAATAATATTTACCGGACATTTGTTCGCAGGAAAGAGATTTTCCTGGGAGGTTTGATAACAAATTGAATAGTAATCCTTCTATTTGTGCAAAGCAATAACACTCCATTCTTAACAGTTCTCTATCATATCAGTACCTACCTACATATTTCAATAAATGATCTTGAAACTACAATTAGGTGCTATATATTGACTCAGGTTTGTGTGAATTGTTCACACAGTTATCGTAAATTGTGAGAAAAAATGAAATTAAGTCTGGGTACGGTCATTGACAAAAGTAATGATCGCCTAATAGGTAAACTGTTCAGTATAAGGAACCAACATGTCTATCACATCGGCCTCCGTCGGTTTCTTCAGGGAGAGATGTACCTTACTTTGGTGGTTGGCATTTCTCAGTTATATTCAAATGTTAGTTGCTTTACCTATTCGGCGATTATTACTTTTGTCAGTGAGAGTACAAACATGCATTTTAATTAATGGCTAAAGTAACAATGTCGCGAGAAAAAAAAGTTTTAAATCGCCAATATCGCAAAGAATTCAAATAAATCTTATCAGGCGATATGCCGTGAAATTCTATGATCTTTGATCTTGTTTGATGGTTTATATACATGTATAAAGGCCCCAAACGTGTTACAGTATCCTAGTCTCATTTGAACATTTCGCGTAAATTGAATTGAATTTTTTTTTCAAATATGATCTGTACAGTTTTACGGTTGGGTACAAAAAGATGCTGTCCGAAATGGTCCTCGAATTTAACAAGATCTTGTTCAACACTGGATCCAACTCAGGTAAAATTATTAAACGAGATGTGCTTTCTTGTGGATGACAACGATAAAGTGATTGGCACAGCTACGAAAAAAGAATGCCATGCTGTAAAAGAAGACGGTTATCTCCCTCTACACAGAGCTTTTAGTGTCTTTTTGTTCAATAAAAAAGGAGATTTGTTAATGCAGAAACGAGCTGATACTAAAGTAAGTATTTTCAGCGAGTTTCCTAGTAGCAGCATCATGACATTTCAGATTACCTTTCCCGGTTATTATTCAAATTCGTGTTGTAGCCATCCTCTAGCAAGTGTCGCTGGGGAGGATGACGTCAATGATGCTTTAGGAATTAAAAAAGCTGCTATACGACGGCTTAATTACGAACTTGGAATTCCCCGAGATCATTTGCCATTGGATCGATTTGAATATCTTACACGAGTAAAATATAAAATTCAGGGAGATGGTAAATGGGGGGAATACGAAATCGATTACATACTTTTTTTCCAAGACGATGTTAAGCTAAATCCTAACCCAAATGAAGTATCTGCAATTGCTTATGTTCCTAAAAGTGAATTTAAGTCATACTTGCACACACTTGATGGTCCTTTGAGTCCCTGGATGAACCTAATAGTTAAATACCGTTTGGCTGTTTGGTGGGATAATTTGCACGATTTAAGTAAATTTAAAGATCATACGCAGATATTCCATCTGTTTTAGTTATTAGTATTATGATAAGCATAGAATTAGATGATCACTTATAATTATCAGTTTATTAAAAAGTTAAAAAGTATTTCAATAGAGCTTTTCTATAATTTCGGTTTAACTGGGTTAGTGGACCGTACTATATGGAAACAATTATAGCAATAAATGTCCCTGTCTTCCAAGTTATCCTCATTTTTAACAAAACTCATGAAATAGTATATATGTCGTAGCCACATTATAAATT